GAACTGGGTGTGATTTTAGTACTGGACTGCCTTTTTCGAGAACCAAATTAGCTCCTACTCCGGAGCAGGGTCTAACCAGCACAACTGGTACTACCCGTGACGTAAGTAGACATTGATTAGCCAAACGCGTACGAAATCACCCTCACCCACCATGATTTAAAACGCCGTGTAAACATACTGTAAACATTGTGTCAACTTATTTCGCAAGTATGGAGAACAGCGATAGATGGACGAACGCTGAAGTGCAGGCACTTGTAGCAAATGTAGAACTGACAGTTGTCGTTGGAGATTCGTAGTCCTCCTTTTCGTTCTTTCAATCGCTTTACGTATACGTCAACTTTCCATGTCCATTATTGTGAAACCCGTGAGACACAACAAAAACACAGCTCCGATCACAGCATCCTCCATCCTCCTGTTGTTAACATTGTTCTTCTTTGTTTCCGTTGTTGAATGCCATGCACAAATGATGTAGCTGTCGACTGGCTTACGTCACTTCCTAGTACACACTGTCAGTGCGAATGTAACCCTTTAAATGGTACTGGGAAATAGTTTGTGCAAAATCATCCCAGTACTTTAGTACTGTACATTTAGTTCTGGAACTAAATCGGTGCGAAAGGCCCTTATGCCTCTCTGGGGTCTTGTTGGGCATGGGTGCTCCCTTCTCAGAAGAGGCTCAAGCCGACACCTGCAGGAGCTCCTGCCTTAGCAGCTCAGGTATCTTGAGTCTTTGCCTCTCTGGGGTCTTGTTGGGGACAGGTGCTCCTTGAACAGAAGAGGCTTGAGGCTTCTGCTGCTGCAGGTCCTGCCTCAGTTGCTCAGGGATCTTAGGTTTTGACACCTTCAGGGCAGGCACAGCTTCTCTCTGTAGAGATTTGGTGCACATGGGTGTGTCATGAGGACACTTGTGGGCACTGATGCTACCTGTGGGGACCTAGCAGGCTCAGGTGTTCCCAGTTCAGAAGCAGCCTTTACCAGATGCTGCCTCAGATATTCAGGGATCCTGAGCTTTCCTCTTCATTGGGAGCCAGTGGTCACAGGTGATCCCTGTAGGGACCCGGCAGGCTCAGGCGCTACCTGAGGCTTCTTCTGCCTCCACTTCCTTTGCTGTTGCTTCCCCTGCTTAGTGGTTCTCAGTATTTTGTTTGAGAATGCTGAGTCCCCACACTCAGCCCTCTCAGACCCAACAAGCACATGTTCTTCCTGAGGCTTTTGGTAAGGGATCAGGCATCACAATATGGTAAGGGACGTAACTTTCTGTCACATGCTTGAGGTATTCGGCCAATCACAACGCACTGGATAGCTGGCCAATCAGAGCACACCTCGCTTTTTCAGACCGATGTGCTTTGTAAAAATCGACGTGTTTCAGAAAGGCGGGGCATAGAGGAGAAACAATAATGTACAGTATGTGGAAAATAATGTGTTTTTTAGTATTTTTTCAGTATTTTTTTACCTTAAACCGCATAAACACATTTCATTAACCAAATACACAAAATAATGTTCTTTTATATATATAAATCTAATTGCTTAAATCAGTCAATGCTTTGATCATTATTAACTTATCTGAAAATTCCCACACGGACCAACACTGTTAAGCCTGTTTATTGATCTCAATGCACAGTGCATATTTTTTCTCCAAGTTATGAAAATATTGATTAAAAATGAAGATGTCCAAAGTGTAAAGAGGATACTCACGATTACTCTCCACAAAATGTCTGATTCCTCTGCACTCATATTTATAGACTCACCGAGCATTCTAATGGAATGCAGCAAACATAATGACGCTAACAATGGACCACACCTACTGATCTCATTGGCGGAAATATGTCTTAAGACAGCACATCTGCTTTAAATATTACAATTATTACAAAAAAAAGAGATAAAATGAAACATATTAGCTAAAAAATATTAGCTAAACTAAATATAATATTCAAGCGCTTTTATGACAGCAGAGAACAGCAGCCAGCATTCTAAGTTGTCATGGCAACAATTTAGATTGCCTGCCGTTTTACAGGAGGTGCGGAGGGAAGTTTATTCGTATGGGACATCGTCAGACTTCAGTTCTCACTCATTTGTCCCGTTCGCACCAAGAACGATACTGTTGTGGAGTATTTGGCGTCCACAACAACTGACGGTAATATTCTGTTTATTGCGTGCACTGCAGTTCGAGCTAAAGCTGGGTGGATTCTGATTGGCTCTTAAAGGGGTCCTATTATGCTTTTCACTTTTTCAACTTTAGTTAGTCTGCAATGTTGCTGTTTGAGCATAAAAAAGATCTGCAAAGTTACAAAGCTCAAAGTCCACTTCAAACGGATAAATTTTATTTAACAGAAATCAATTTTCAAAAACTACAATGAAGGACTCGTTTGGACTACAACGCATATTTTCCAGGATTTGTGATATCACAAATACCGACAAATGGGACGAGACTTGGTTGAGCTGCACCAGAGAAGGCAACGAGTGTTATCAATATGTCGGAGACAGGCTAGCTTTCCCAAGGCAGACGAACTTAGAGTGGTTACAATCATCGTATGAGAGCCTGTTCTAGTACACCCCCAAAATAAAATCAAGACTTTGTAAAAGAGCATAATAGGACCCTTTAATGTTTCTTGGAAAAACAAATCGTTCTGTGCGATTCCAACGAGATCGTAGTTGTGTTGTGGATTTTGCTGAATTATTAAATTGTAGCCTAGATATTGCCTAGTTATCGGCATTAGTGTGAGCCACTAATATAAAGATATAATCATTGTATAGATCATGTGAACGAGCATTTTTTAAAATAACTTTTAAGGAGATTCACAATATAGATTATACACCAATACTCAACCCATAATCTCACACTCTGAATCACCTAATGCCTATTTTTGGGTTTATGAATCAGAGTTTGACTGTGCTCATTGCCTCCTGTTCAGTCTTGTGTAATACAGTCGTGATTTAAGCTAAAAGAAGATTGTGCAGTCGAAGATATATGGGCAGTGGATTTGCTATGACTTTTGTTTCCATCACCCTGCTTTTATGTGCATTTTGAAGTATCGCATCAGAAACGAGTGATGGAAATGCTGAATTTCGAATAAAAATGCCTTAATTCGCAAAAAAAGTTTTTACGCTTGCTCAAAAGTAGTTTTTGACTTGTGCGAAAAATTAGTTAATGCGAACAATGGGAGATGGAAATGCATTTTGCGAATAAATCCCTCCAAGCACATCAAAAAAGTAATATGCGACTTTGTATGATGGGACGGCAAAACCTGACTAACCAGGGGACCGATCTCATTCCACAGCATCTGAAATGTTGTTATGGTCATTCGGAAATGCCTGACCAAAGTCTGTCATCAAAATATTTATGTATAATTGCCTACAAGAAATGTCTTACACGACTGCGTTCCCAAACAGCAGCATCCACCTCCGAAAGCAATGACCGCATTCATTGTGTTTCGTCTGTTCGCTCCGAGGCGCAAGTAACTTATTATATAAGAAAATTATTATATTCAGTAGCTTCTCCTACTTTTCTTAGTGATTTATAGTGCCAGTTTATCAGGAAGTAACAATTTTGTTCTCTTTGACTCTGATTTGTTTGCAAATGTTTTATGCGATATTCTAATTTTGCGAATAAGTAAAATTCGCAACTTTGGATGGAAACCCAGAATAATGACTGACTTTGAACATCTGGTCTGCATAATGAATTGCAGATGTGACGCTGTACTTGGAGTACTCTATCACGGTACTCTAGTGGCCGAAAGCTGTAATGCAAAATTGTTCAAATACGTTAAAATTTGGAAGCCGCAGAATTTTAAACCAAACGACGTAAAGTGCACAGAATATGCATAGTTTACCTACGACCTCATGTCTTGTGTAATACAGTCGTGATTTAAGCTAAAAGAAGATTGTGCAGTCGAAGATATATGGGCAGTGGATTTGCTATGACTTTTGTTTCCATCACCCTGCTTTTATGTGCATTTTGAAGTATCGCATCAGAAACGAGTGATGGAAATGCTGAATTTCGAATAAAAATGCCTTAATTCGCAAAAAAAGTTTTTACGCTTGCTCAAAAGTAGTTTTTGACTTGTGCGAAAAATTAGTTAATGCGAACAATGGGAGATGGAAATGCATTTTGCGAATAAATCCCTCCAAGCACATCAAAAAAGTAATATGCGACTTTGTATGATGGGACGGCAAAACCTGACTAACCAGGGGACCGATCTCATTCCACAGCATCTGAAATGTTGTTATGGTCATTCGGAAATGCCTGACCAAAGTCTGTCATCAAAATATTTCTGTATAATTGCCTACCAGAAATGTCTTACACTACTGCGTTCCCAAACAGCAGCATCCACCTCCGAAAGCAATGACCGCATTCATTGTGTTTCGTCTGTTCGCTCCGAGGCGCAAGTAACTTATTATATAAGAAAATTATTATATTCAGTAGCTTCTCCTACTTTTCTTAGTGATTTATAGTGCCAGTTTATCAGGAAGTAACAATTTTGTTCTCTTTGACTCTGATTTGTTTGCAAATGTTTTATGCGATATTCTAATTTTGCGAATAAGTTAAATTCGCAACTTTGGATGGAAACCCAGAATAATGACTGACTTTGAACATCTGGTCTGCATAATGAATTGCAGATGTGACGCTGTACTTGGAGTACTCTATCACGGTACTCTAGTGGCCGAAAGCTGTAATGCAAAATTTTTCAAATACGTTAAAATTTGGAAGCCGCAGAATTTTAAACCAAACGACGTAAAGTGCACAGAATATGTATAGTTTACCTACGACCTCATTGTTAAAGTGTTGCTATACAAAAAGTGATGCTATATAAAAAAAAATAATAACAATAAATCTTGTTTCTTAGATCAAAAAGTGTAATAAAATAAACATACCCAAGGTGCTTCAACGTTAAACTTTATTTTTCAGAAAAATGAACCCAAAAATTTTAAAATAAAATGCAAACATTCTGAAAAATTTCTACACAACAATTTCACAGAAATTACCTTGTAATGCAGATCCCTGTATTAGGCGTAATGTATTAGTGTCCTGTCTACGTTTTGTTTTAAATAGGCAGCCAGAAAGTACATCGAACAAGGAGAAGAAATAGAAGAAAAAAACATCTCAATTTAGGCTACTCTTTTAAAAAGGTGAAGTTTTACGCATAAGTTGGACTTCATAAGTCTCGGTATTTCTGATATGAAATAAAAACATGTCAAAGTTTTATGCCAGCTTGTAAACATGGTCGTTTGTATGTTGCGGTGCTTGTAAGTTACATAATGATACATCATTTCATACACTCAAGCTGCCCGTGTCAGTGTAAAACACAGTTTTCATCAAATATATGTAGCCAAACAAAATGCCGTCAAATATCCTCGAAAATCATTTAGACTCATCTAGTTTGTAAAAATCGCATTTACAGTAATGCACTTACAATGGAAGTATATGGAGCAAGATATACCAGACTATGCAATAGCTGAAACTACAGCTATATTTAGTTTTTAAACGATTTTCGCAGAAAAATAGGCATTATTTGAGCTGTAAAGTGGTCTAAACAACACGTTATCTATGGGACTACATTTTAAGGTGGATGAATACCAACAAAGGTGGATTTTCTTTATGTAAACAGTAGTTCACTAATAGTTACGTCACGTTCGTTTACGGTATCTTTTGCGTAACTTGCCATCTTTACCGTCTTTATGTGGTTTTTACAGCACTTGAAATAATTTATTCTACCACATTTGTCTCAGGTTAACATCTAGAATGTTATATTTAGTGCCCCATATACTTCTGTTTTATGTCCTTCCTTTACTGTAAACACAATTTTTGTTCGTCTGTACAAACTGGGAAAGGAGTCAAACTTATTTTCTGTGGTAAAACATCCACTTTCGAGGGAGAAATTAACCTGGAACATTTCTATCGAAATGGAACAAACAATAGTGAAAACTTTGGACAAGTCCAGAATTCGATTAAAAAGCATTTATTTTCTTTCTAAACATGTTCTACTATTCATTCATCTCCATAAAACAATGCTATTTAGGGACTTACACAACCCAGAACAGCTAAACATCAGGACTCCTTCTTAACCCTGTATGGACTGCCATGTTAAATTTCATTAAAGAAAGGCACACAGCTTCTGAAGAACATCTTTATCCCACGGTTAAACTCTGTAGAAATGGATACTGCATCAATGGGACAGAGATTACATCTAGCCTAAAACCCAGACTAAAACAGCAGTCTGAAAGGTTTCTCTGCATCTGTGAAACTAGCCAGTAAAGACTAAACCTCTTCTGAAATCAACCGGAAACGAGGAAAGGAAGCATCTCAGACATACAGACAAATGCAAAGACGAATAATTTGAATTTCATAGCTCAGCAGGCCGTTCTTGGTCCAGTCGTGTCCAGAAGTTCAGCAGGACTTTAAGAAAGGAGTCGCCACATATCAAGTGTAAGAAGGCGTCACGTCTGAACAGGAAGTGACATTTACAGCTATATAAAAGCAGACGTCTAAGTACCAGCGCACATCTAAACCTTTAGACAATCATTTCAGCAGGTAATATCTTAAGTGCAACCATATTTATGTGACCCAAAGTGCCTGAGCTGCTAGCTTGGAGTACAATTGAAACGATTTCCATTTCCTTTAAATGTTCAGTAATCACTCAAGTTTCACTTCTGACCTAACAGACAGAGATACATACAAATACACACTCGGTGAATGAGTCTCTGTGTCTCTTTCGAGTGTTGAGTTTGGACAGCAGCTTGGCAGTGTCTCGGGTCCTCCTGTATGAGACGGGCCTCAGGAAAGGGTCCCAGAGACACAACGGTTTGGTCCTTTAAGGTCCCGTTCTCGTGCCGAGTTAGTTTGAAGTCTCTCAGCGAGGGTCGGTTTATCCTTTAGGAGTTTTACTGGACTGTGAGTTCCACATGCCTCTTTTAGAGTGATAGTAGTGAAAGAAGTTCCTCAGTCTTAAACGCTCAACCTCCAGACCGTTTTGCAAAACTCTGAAAAAGAGAGAGATTAATTTAATATTTAATGTATTTTTTTTTAATTCATTTTTAATTATTTATAAATGATTTTAATATCTAATTTAAATGATAATGTCAATAATAATAATAATATATTCAATTATTATTATTATTATTATTCAATATCATAATTTAACTAATGTTAATAATAAATTGTATTATTATGAATACTAACATTTATTATTATTATTATTATTATTATTATTATTATAACATCAAAACTAATGTCGATGTGAAAATCTGTCATTTCAATTTTCACATTTTATAGTTTTTAACAATAAAATATTTTATTATTTTTTATTCATTTTTTGACATTAACATTTATTAAAAATATTGTTATTAAATAACAACAACATCACTGTCTTGTTCACTTCAATATAATATTAATAATAATATTAATTAAAAACATATTTATTTAATATATAAAAATTATATATATATATATAATGTCACTCAAAATCTCACAATTCAGTATCATAATTTTAATAGTATTAATACAATTATATTATATATTATTATCAACAATACATCAACAACAATAATATTGTCACAGTCCGAAACTCTCAATTAAATATCATAACTGTATAAGTAATATTAATAACAAAATAATATTTAATATGATTGATGATGATGATTACTATAACATCACTGTGAACAATTTACAATCATAATTGTAATAATAATATAAATAAACTTATATCCATCTAACATATAACAACAACAACAACAATAATAATAATTATTATTATTATTATTAACGACAACAGAATAATATTTCAATATAATTTTAATGATATTATTAATGATATTTAACTTATTATTATTATTATTATTATTATTATTATTAATGATAACATCACTGTCAAATTCTCTAAATTATCATAAATAACTGAGATACTACTACTAATAGTAATAATTTTATTATTATTATTAATAATAATAATAATAATTATTAATAATAATAATAATAATAATTATTATTATTATTAAGAACAAAATAGCATTTTAATATCATAATTTTAATAATGATATTAATAATAACATGATATTTAACATATTATTATTATTAATTATTATTCATAATAATACTAACAAAAACATCACTGTCAAAGTCTCTAAATTATAAATAACTAATACCATTATAATAATAATTCCTGATACTACTACTACTACTAATGTCTTAAATTGTATTGCAAAAATGAATGAATACTATAAAATAAACTTGTTTCCTGTAAAGCGCTTCTACCTGTCCAGTAGCTCCCAGTCTTCTCCTCCCCAGCGGTCCTTAAACTCCTCCGTGTTCATCCCACCAATCTTGTCAAAATCGGACTTGTAGATCCCAAACAGGCCGAAGCCGTTCACCTCCCAGTAACCTGCAGACACAGAGCCGTGGGTTTGATGAAGTCCAGTGTGACAGCGGCTGTGTTTGAGCGTGTGTGAGCTGCGTCGTACCGTCAGGCTCCTGCGGTGAGCTGCCGCAGCCCAGTCTCATGACTATCGGAGCGAAGGCCAGTTTGCCCTCCACACAGTGCTTCCTGATGTTCTCCAGGATGTTCAGAGGGAAATGAATGTGCAGGTCACACAGAAACACGATGCTGTGACTGTCCTGCAAACACACATCAGCAAAACATCAGCCCACACTGCAACAGTACTGAACTACACGACTGATTAAACACATCCTGCTCGTCAGCTTTGTTACATTATAGCAAAAGCCACATTTTACACTCATTAACACGAGGAGGATTCCTAGAAACGGTTGTCTCTGCAAACAATGAATCACTGATAATCACACTCGTGTTGAGCTAACAGGTTTAATCGCTGCATGGGGAACTATGACATGATGCTGGAATTAAGTGTGCGTTAACAACTAATTTAAAATAACATGTACGTGCTTTTCAGACTCATTTTTGATTTTATGAAAGATGCATCTTTTGCCAATTGATTGCAAATCCATGTTAAAAAAAAACTGAATCTTGGTAGTACTAAAGCTACATTTGTTTATTTTCCAAACACTTGATAACACTGATAAATGTCTTTATATACTGTACATAAAAAAATTATTTCACACTTTATCCAAAGCATTTTACATCAGTACATAATATGATTTCTGTGAATCGAACCCATGACCTTGGCATTCCTAGATCCACCAGTTGAGCAACAGGAACAATTTGTGTGCCGTTATGCACTTTACCACAGATATGAAACATTACTGAGAATGTCTGAACATCTACAATGTGTTATTTTGGAATTATAATAAATCCGATTTGAAATCAGATCATCTGAAAGCTGTGAGTGTATGATTACCTCTATGGTGTCCACACCGATCTGTAACCCAGCAGAACGTTCAAAGTTTCCTTCTCTCCTCAGATACTCATATCTGTGTACACAAGAGTCCAGAAAAATAGAAATACAACAGTAATATGCCTCTGTTTTATATGCTAAATACACAGATATCCATCTGAGTATATAATTAGCTCTATTAACTATAAATAGTCTATTAATATATATTACATATTTAAAAAATATATATATATTTTTTATTAATCAATATATAACAATCTTATAATAAATATATAAACAAACACACACACACACACGTTAGGTTTCTGTGAATTGTGGGCACCTTCCATAGACTTCTATTACTTTTATACTGACCAAATGATATTTTCTATCCCCTAACCCTAAACCTACCCCTTACAGAAAACCTGTTTGCATTGTTACACTTTCAGATAAACATCATTTACTATTTTTAATCATTTAATCACCACATCACACACACACACACACATATATATAACTGTAACAGAATATGTAATATACTAAATATATGTATATTAATTTTACATATTTAAATATATGTGTATGTTTATGTAAAAGGAAAGTAGGCGCATAATGTTTCCATTAGACATTTTTATATTTATAAACATTCACATATAACAATTACTCTAAATTATAAATTACTCTAATGTATATTACTCTAAAACGTAATAGATTAATATACATCAGCATATTAGATAGCAGAATATCTCATATACAAATGTATTTTAATTTAACATTTAAATGTTTATGCTGAATATGTATGTTTATATGGAGGGGAAGTTGGCATAATGTAATTAGTTTTTTTTTTTTTTTCATATTTATACGTTTTTTCCTGTTTTTAACAACAACAACAAAAAAAACGGTATCTTGGGTCGAGAACTTTTTAAAGCACCTCAACACTAGTTCATTTTAAATACTGCTCCAGTGAGTCATAAAAAAAGTATATATATATATACACAGTAGTAACAAGTATCGCGAGTTATGTAATCATTACTTTTTTAAAGTAACTAGTAAATCCAGAAGGAAATATGTGAGTTACTTTTTCAAATAAGTAACTCCAGTTACTTTGTTTCCATGTATTGACTGACAGCTCTGATGTTGCCATGTTTAGAGAAATCAGGAGTAAGTGCAACTGTATATATATATATATATATATATATATATATATATATATATATATATATATATATATATATATATATATATATATATATATATTAGGGCTGTCATCGTCATCGTGTTAATGCATGCAATTAATTTTACAATCCTTAACACGTTAAAATAATTTAACGCAATTAACGCAAATTTACTGAAGCACAATTTCTATTCTTACCCTTTAACCCAATTTTGCTTCTCTGCTTGCAATCAGATCATTTTAAGCCGCTAAACTCCGGGAAAGTTTTCAAAGCACAATTTCTATTCTAAGCCTTTAACCCAATTTTGCTTCTCTGCCTGCGATCAGATCATTTTAAGCTGGTAAACTCCGGGAAAGTTTTCAGTCCAATGATCCAGTAAACTAATGCATTCAAACAATCCGTCCAAAACAGCGCTAATATAAAGGAAACCAGGCTGATTACATCAGAGATTTCAGAGAGAACAGAGACTCGCGTTGCGTTTTAAGTGAATTATTCATTCCAGTGTTTCGCTTTAAAACACGAGCTCGGTCTTATTCTGTGATTGTCTCTGAAGAGCGCGAACCCTCACATGTCTCGCGCTTGTGTGAAGGTATTCTTCAAAATGAATAAAAACAGTCAAATGCAAACTCAGAATACAAATCTGCAATAGTTAAATATCTTAAATAATACAAATATCATTTATGTATTTAATTCCATTTTATTAACCAATGTCTTTGCTACTGACCTTCGATGATCCAGTTCAACCATACTTTTGTTTTTGTTATTGCTGAATAGTGTTCAACTTTCTTCTGCGTCATATTCTTTTGCAATTTGTTTGAGCTGTGCCCTCTACTGTACAGACATGAATTTACATTTCCTTCAGCCTGAGGTGTATTCATTTCACTTTTGTTGTGAAAGGGCTTTTAGATTTGTAATAGAGGAACTTTTTATATGTGGCCCTGGTCCACAAAACAAGTCATAAGAGTCCATTTTTCAAAATTGAGATTTGTACATCATCTTAAAGCTGAATAAATAAGCTTTCCATTGATGTATGGTTTGTTAGGATAGGATAATATTTGGTCGAGATACAACTATTTGAAAATCTGGAATCTGAGGGTGCAAAAAAATCTAAATATTAAGAAAATCGCCTTTAAAGTTGTCCAAATGAAGTTCTTAGCAATGCATATTACTAATCAAATTAATTTTTTAATATATTTACGGTAGGCAATTTACAAAATATCTTCATGGAACATGCTCTTTACTTAATGTCCTAATGATTTTTAATGAAATCAATAAACATTAATTTACATTTCCTTCAGCCTGAGGTGTATTCATTTCACTTTTGTTGTGAAAGGGCTTTTACATTTCCGTACATTCACGTTGTTTCCACACAATTCATATATTTACGGTAGGCAATTTACAAAATATCTTCATGGAACATGCTCTTTACTTAATGTCCTAATGATTTTTAATGAAATCAATAATTTTGACCCATACAATGTATTTTTGGCTAACGCATTACTTTCCATAAAAAGTAACTAAGTAACGTGATTAGT